GACACAGAAAGCCTTCCTTGTCTCATCTTGCTTTTCCATCCTTGCCTCCTCTTTTCTCTTTCTTCCCCTAAAAGCTATCTCCTTCTCAAAGTACCTGAAGTTTCTCCTAAAAGACCCAAGTTTCAGTGTTTCTAACTTCAAGGCTCATCTTGTGCCAACTCTGAATCTTCCCAGGTGTTCTCAGCGCTGACTGCTTTTTCTGTGTCCTCAGTGTCCACTGTCAGAATTTTGTCACATGTTATTTATCACCCTGAATTCTGTCACATGTGTTTATCACCTAGAAACTCCCCGAGGAAAAGACTCAAATCTCATTCATCTTGGTATCATGTCCCTTCCATCCACCACAGGTATACATCACAAGTGGTTATTTGTTGAACGACTTGCCTAAACAATGAGTGAAAGAGAAACATTAAATTCAGTCCCTTTGCTTTGTTATGCAAATGTGCTATGGAAACATAAGCAGGTAGACGATCTGCTCTGTGCATATCCTCACTGTGATGAAAGAATGATCTGCTTCATTCTTGACTCATGGCAAAAACAGTAACGGGTCAAAAATCCTTAGTCAGACAACTCAGTAAGACGCGCTTACACAGATAACTAATGATCCAAACTCAGTTGTGTTTCCCCGTTTACAGATACGTTGTGGAATTTACATAGAAAAATACCGCTAGGTCATACTCAGCATGTTTTTCTTTAGCCTCCTCTGCTATATGAAATTAGAATCATAAAATAGGCTAATTCAATAGTGACCTTTTTTTTGAAGTTTTTAAAAGGTTTTTACTTGACAGAACTCACTATAAAATCAGTGTAACCAGTAGGTCCCATAAAAACATGAATTACGCAAAGAAACGATCTCGTTAACGGAGATGAATGCGTTTGTGAGCAGCAAATGCTTCTTGTCTACGTTTGGGGAACTCTTTAGGGCTTTTGGAAAACAACTAAAATACAAGAGACTTACCAGACTTAGGGGACCAAACCGCTAGGAAAAAACACTTGGAATAAAGCTGTCCCACTAAGGTAGACACAACAGGTAAACGAAGAACAATGGCAGGTACAAACCCAGAAACACAATGAGCAAGAATGCTGTCTGCTCACCGACCACCTGTACCCGGCAACTGAGTCAGGAATCGGAATGACTGATTTTTTCCGTATCTGCTGATTATTTTGTCTTATTATCGATTGTTAATTTGTGGCTCATTAACGTAGAAGAAATTAATTTTCTTTCAGAAACACCATGGGAATAGCATTCTGCATTCCAAAAAATGCCAAATAATAACTCTTAAGAACAAACAGCATTGGAGGTCATGAATTAAAATGGCCCATTAAAAAACACAACAAGTAACAAATGTCGCGACATTTTAGCTTCAGATACGAAATGCCGCACGTGCTTCTGCGTTACCTGCTCTCTCTCGTGAAGACTTTGTATTGTAGATTGAGTAAACGTTGTGTTTGTCCAGATGAGTTTCCAAAAAGGCTACAGGAAACGCACCAGCAAAGGCAGCCAGGCATTCTCCTAATGCAGAACGTTGCCTGTAAGTGGAAAATGCTTGTATTTTTTAAGTCTTCTAAGTGAGTAACTGAAGCAGTTACGTGAAAATTGACAAGTTCTACCTAATAGGGCAACAACAGTGCTCCTGATAAAACTAACCTTTAAACCCAATTTCTATACTGCAAAAATCATACACTTTCAATAGCAACTTCTCTACCACCAGAAAAGCTAAATTATCTGTTAGCTAAAAAGAAGCTAAAAACAGTACAGACTAAAATAACAAATAAAAACCTGTAAACTGCCCCACAAGCTTGGATATTTCACGTGCTGTCTTCTTTCTTTTTTAATATGATGATCTAAGGAAGAATTCTTGCCACGTGAACAAATGGATTTTGGTAACAAATTTAAAAATAAAATACTGACACTAATAAGCAAATATTAGCATTTCTGAAACTTTACCGTGTATAAGTAACTTCGGGGCAGCTATGAAATACTAAGATATGACAAATGCTATAAACTGTTGATAACACTTAAAATTGATTTATCATTTTCAAGGGAAGGAAGGTCCTTAGGGAATCAGACTGTGATCAATTTACTCAAGGCAGGTTATGACCCAGGTTCCCCTGCTCCTGATATAAATCCTCTCTCCCTTAGTTATCTACTTAATCCAAGGCTTTATGAGCACAGTAAGTGTTTATTAAATATAGAATAATAGGAGAGTGATTTCAGCAGTTTAAGAACTCCTTAAATGACTGTACACAGATTTTATTTGGAAGTCAATAAAATGGCTCTAATTAAGAAAAGATTACATAACTCTCTTAGGTAGTTTTAAATTTCTCACTAGAAAAACACACTTAAACAATGTCTGACTATCTAATATTTTCATTAAAAACTAGTAAACACCTGTCCAGCTAGGAGAAAATGGCCCTTCACAGAACGCCAATGAGTAAAATAAAGTTCTATTCAAACATCTAATAAAATTTCATTACTAAAAATAATCTAGTAAATTACAAAGACCAGGCTTAGATTCAGGCAGACCCAAGTCCTGATCTTAGTCCTAACACTAGAGTTACTCATTATAGGAAAATTGCTTACTCTTTTCAAGTTTTTCTTTCCTTAACTAAAAATATGGAGACAGAATTGCAAAACTTTTGGTACACAGTATAGGTTCAATAAATGTTTTAAAATAATGAGAAATAATTTAAGAACTTAGTAGCCTAAAATGTTCCATGTATGATCCCAAAGCAGCTAATCTATTTCCTGACATTTAACTGGACTAGTCCTTTTACTTCATTAATAATTCATGTGAATTATTTAATAGTTTACTTTAAAATACAAATCCAATTAGGAATTCTCAGATTAACTTGGACCATTTGTGCCGGTAGTCTGGAAATACTAATTTTTCTTTTAGATGACTTGTATTAAAATAACTTTTTTTAGTATAGTGTCATATTTTCCAAATCTTCTTACTCATCTTCAAATTTTTATTTTTATATTCTCTCTCACTTTGTAATTGCAAAGTTAATTTTATATATATGCATAAATATACACACTTAGAATCTAACAGAATGATCCGAATCTTGTCAAGAAAAATGCCCCAGCAAGGACAGTAACAACAATAAAGGGCAAGTGTTGAGGTGGCAGAGAATCTGACTACCAGATACTCAGAAATATTATAAAACACCAACAATTCAGGCTCCATGGTACCGTTCCAATTACTTAAAAAGTCAAGTAACAGAACAGAATAGAAATTCTAGAAATATAACCTAGCAAGTATATGCAGCATACGGTGAAGAGCTGATCTGAAATCAGCGAGTAAAAGAAATATTTAATAAACTGTGAGATCAGACATGGTGGGTGATTTAAAAAGCGAATTTGAACTCTACATAATCCCAGAGAGAAACGCGGAATTCAGATGCATGTTTAGTCTACGCCCGGCTTATCGTCTAGCCTTTCTCTGTTGAGCAGAGAAAGCCGAGTCCAAAGGACACGCTCCTGACCGCCCCTCGTCACTCTGCGTTGGGTGCTTACTGTCACAGGGACTCGCCTCTACTGTGTTCATCAGTTTGCCTGCTTGTTTTGCTTCTCCCACTTGACACAAGCTCTGTGAGAGCAGGGATCTATTTGTCCACTGTTACATGATGCTCAGTAAGTATTTACTGAATGAACAAAAGGATTAAAAAGAAAATCTAAACAACTGGAAGCGTGGGAAACCTGGGAGAACAAATACTAGAATTTCTAGTTATTAATTGAGGGTGCAGTA